TTTTGTCGTCGCGATTATAAAGCGCTAAAAGATCGTCCTGAAAATAAAATTAAAAAGACTTTTAATGGCAAAATTTTAAAAATATTGCTAATAAATGCACTTTTAAGAACATAATAATTTAGTCCTAAAAAGGTTTTTTTTCGACAATACTACGTAACTCAAATTTTGTGGCTCAAATGGCCAAAACGGTCGTTTTGGCCATTTGAGCCACAAAATTTGAGTTACGAGACATTTTCCTATATTTTAGATAAAAATTTTGGTCACAAAAGGATAGTAATTATAATTAAATATGGGGTTCACAGTTATATAAGTGTTCGCGGTGTATTTTGTATTTGATTTTTGCATTAGTAGCGTTGCTCATTCTTTTTTTCTTTTTTTTTTTTCTTTGGGATAAATTACAAATACATCCCTTAAGGTTTGATTAAAATACGAATCGTTTCCTGTGGTTTTGAAAATTACATTCCACCCCTTGAAGTTTCTAATTTTATAACAAATCGTCCTTTATATTAATAAATTATCAAATCAATTAATAATTTTTAATGATGTTAGAAATATGTTTCAATTAATAATTTAAGTAATTTTATTATTGTATAGGAGAACAATTATGAATTTTATTGTTTTAAGTAATTCTTTTAAATAAAAAATTTTAATAAGAGATTATTTATAATTATCCAAATTACAAGGGACAGTATATATTTTAAATAAATTTTACCTGTGTATTTCCACAGGCTGCTCATTCATGGGAAAAATGTAAGTTAAATGTTAAGCTGGACTTGGGCTTCAACAAGTTCTATGAATTCGGCCCAGATGTTCTTATACTATTCGACAAGGCTACACTTGGTCCAAGAAACAAGCCCATGTACTTGTGCGACCCAAAAAACTCAATTTGACACTAACAATACTAGGGGTGAGCAGCGGATATACCGATCCGCCAAAACCGACCGAACCGAACCGATCCGCCGCCTTTTGGACGGATGCGTGATGACGAGCGGACGGTTGCGGATTGATTTTCTCCAATCCGCCAATTTGGCGGACGGATGGCGGATTTGAGATTTTGTGGCCGCAACCGAACCGCCAAACCGCCAAATCGCGAGCACCCTAGTAATTTATAAGACTTTGTATTTTCAATTTGTTTAAAGATTATGTTTGTGTTTTCAATTGAAAAAGAGTTTAAATATTCTGTTGAAAAAAAGTTTTCAACTTAAATATATTTTTTGAATTGAAAAAAATGAACGTATTATTCATCTATATTTTTTAGCTTTTAAATCTAACTCTAAAAATAATAAATAGAAAATATGATATATGCTGGTTGGTTTTTATTTTCAAAAACATATGTAGATACTGCTCTGTTCATGGTTTTAGTGGTTTAAATTGTTATTATATTTTAAGAATCACAGATTGTAATACTTTATGTGGATGAATCATGCTGTGATTATAATATGTGGATAAGGCATGCAGTGATCGTGATGTTCTAAAGTTTCAAACTTTCTTTCTTTGAATAAGGCATACAGTGATTGTAATACTTTTTTAAGTCATTGACTGTACTACTTTCTTTTTCTTTTTTTTCTTTTTTTTTGTTTGAGGAAGTGCACAAGTTGAATTATGTTGAAAATTTATAAAATTTTAAACCGCCAAACCGATTCGCATCCATCCGCCAAACCGCCAATCCGCTCAATCCACATCCGCCGGATTGGCGGACGGATGCGGATTGATTTTCTTCAATCCGCCAATCTGGCGGACGGATGGCGGATTGGAGGTTCCGTGGCCGCAACCGATCCGCGCCCACCCCTAAACAATACTCATTTGGAAATTGATTTTTTTAATAATTTTTTAATTTTTTTAAAAGGTGAAAAAAATTAATATGATTAAAAATATATTTTTAATTGTACCAAAAATCATAAATATTGAGATTTTTAAATTTTTTTGATGGATATTGATATTTTGATTTTTTTTTTTAATTTTAAATAAAAAACTAAGTTACCAAACCAATCTCAGTTCCAGTGAACAGAGAGATGAAACATAGACAACAAACTAAAATCCCATTTGGTTTGAACTTCATAACAAATACTTCCATCATAATTATATAGATAACTTTTCACTTATTTATTTTAATGTTTTGAGTACATATTATTCTGTAACTCATATATATTAAGTAATTATCGGGTCTAAATTGTAGAGTGGACTCAAGAGAAAGTGAAGAGGGAATATTTTAACCATTAGCCCCACCCCTTGAGCTTCAAGTTGCTCCTATTAAGGCCTTGTTTGAAAATTGACTATTTTTGGTGACTTTTTATAAAAATACGTATAAAAAATAGAAAGAATGATATGATAAGTTACAGTGATTTTTTGGCTACAAACCTAACTTCCCAAACAAGGCCTAAGGCCCCATTTGTTTTGGGGTGTAGAGGATGCGATGAGATTAGGATGAACGTGGGGCTCATGTAGTGTTTTGTTTGTTTGTAGAGTTAAGTTGGAAGGGGGAATGAGATGGAGGAGGAGGAGGTGGAGGTGGAGGTGGAGGTGGTATTAGAAAAATAGTGAAGAGATTAGAAATTTTTTTTATTTTTTACATGTTAGGCATTTTTTTTGAACATTAATATTTAATTTTTTGTATTTTTGTATTTGTTTTATTATTTTATATAAAAATAATTTAATAATTCTTACACTAACAACTATCATTAAAACAAACATAATTTTACTTAATTCACTCACTATTAATCCCTCTACTTCTGAAAACAAATGAGGCTAAGTTTGTTCAAGGAATGACTTCTTCATTTTATGAGAGTCCTTGATGGACATTTCAACTGAGCTTAACTAAATGGGTGACCCAGTTTTGATTTAACTTCCCACAGAAAAATAAAAAATTATGTTAATTTCCTCTTTATCTAAAGGGTAATTACATTGACCATCTCTAAAAATAAAAAAATAAAAAAAATCACAGTAAGTTTTTTAAATTTGACATAATTATGATGACATTACTTTTAATAAAGATTAAAGTGAATTAAACTAATGTAGATAGTATGTAGATATATAAATAAATAAAGTAAATTATACATTTCAATGTAAAAGATATGACGTCATTTTTTTTTTTATCAATACAACTAGCAAATTACATATGATAATGGATTTAAGTGTTATGTGAATTAAATTTTTTTTAAAAAAGCCAACATAATTATCCTAATCTTGTGAAGTTTTTGATGAATTTTTTTAAAATCTTGAGGAAAGGAGAAGAGAAAAAATAAAAACCTGAAGAATTCAAACTGAACATATAATAATAGAATAATATTAGGGATCATGAAAAAAAATATTATAAAATGTTTTATGAAAAAAAAAAATTCTTTGATTAATGTGTGGTGTTTTATTTTATTTATAATCTAAGGATGTAAAATCTTTCATGATCATCGTCATGATATTTGTATCATGATCTCTAACAATACTCATAATGATATATTGGGATTGGAAACTCTCCCACAACCAAACATGACACAAACAAAATCATGGAGATTGTAGAAGTTGAATCAAGAAAAATCTGAGAGAGAGAGAGAGAGAGAGAGAGAAAAGTTCATAAAGAAATGGAGCCTAATGTAGAACGAATATATTGGTTATTGGAAAAGTACAAAGATTAATGAAAGAGATTTAGCTACAGGTTTTGCATATGATGTATATGCGGAGAGAGTGGAAGAAGGCATTTGAGCTTTGATGGAATACTCTAATATAATGTCATTGAAAGAAATCAGAAAACACAGAAGTCGAACAAACTTTTCTCTTAACTTTTAGATAATCAATTATTTATTTATTTATTTATTTTTTTTTATAATTTCAGCTATTTCTGTCTAATAAAATTTTAGTAAAAACTATATCAAATAATTTGACATGGATTCCAAGAATTTAAATAATAATTAAAGAAGAACAAAAAAAAAAAAAGAAGTTATATGCAAATTAGATAAACTACATCAAACAGACTCAATGGAAAAGCTGAAAAATAATAATGAGCTGCATTTGATAAAGCCGCTGAATCTTGAACAGAATGAAACAGTAGAGCACATGAGTGAATTTGAGAATCAAAATGCAGGTGAATTGAATTTTCAGAGAGCTTGACTAATATATGTACAATTGAACGTGAAGACCTCATTCCCTTGGCAGCCTTAAAGACAATGCAGGATAATAATAAGGACAAGAAGAGAAACAAAAGTCAGAGGGAAAGATCAAAACCAAAATAATAATAATAATAATAATAGTGATAATAATAAACAAAATATAAGAGAATGTGTTGGAAAATGGTTTGGAAACCATTAATAGATGAATGAAAAATTGATTCTAAAGTGCATCATTTGAGAATGATTTTAAGACAAAATTTATTTAATTTAAAATTTGATTTTATTTAGATAAATTCATTAATTTTTTGAGTCAAAATTAAACAAGATTTTATTCAGAATTCGAATTCTTTTAAAAAACAATTATATTTTTTTAGTTGCACATTTTCTTAGAAAAGAGGTGACTAAGAGCCACCAATTCACCTATATAAGCAGGTCCCCCATTGAATTCATTTTACATGTAATTCATCTTGTGTTTCTTTCCTTCTGCACTATGTCATTTCTGTAAAAAAATTCTGCACAATAAGATTCGCCAGATTTGTCATGGTAGTGCTGCTTCTACAAGGTTCGCACGTTGTATCTTGAGAGACGAACGTCCGATAAAAACTAATGAGCACCATAACGGGAGACAAATTTGTCTCCAGGAAATTGTGTCCAACACAAGTCTCGATCACATTTAGTTTTGTTTCCAGATTTTACAATCTGTTCGTAAGTTTTCTACATCTGTAAATATTTCTAATTCTCTGTATATAATTTGGTTTGGGTTTACCCAAATAAGTTATATTATGTTCAACTTATATTTTTTATATAATTCAATAATATATTTGATGCAATGATTACGTGTTGTACCCTGTACATAAGAGATTGTTTCAACAGAATGATGAACTGTAACTAAATGGACAAGAAGAAGAAACAAGTCAATTTTTAAAATTTCAATTACCAAGTAACAATACAAAGTTACAAACCCAAAGAACATCTCTATACAAAGTTTGAAACAAGCATCATAAAATCTAGAGGGAAAAGGGGTCACTTTAATGGATTCTATGTGAAAATATGTACTTTGTAAAACATTCAAGAGAAAGGGTTTTTCTTTACCATCCAGCCAGGCAAGTTCTTATCCACAAAATTAATATATATATATATATATAAACAACGAAAACGAAAAGTCGACAGAAAAGTGAAATGAAATGAGAATACAGCGAACTAGGCTATGCAAAAAGCTTCCTGCAACGCCTACCCGGCTTGGTTCTTGTACCTGTTGTCACCTCGCTGCGCACAATCTCACCAACTAAATCTTTAAAGATGAGTCGCTCAACATCCAACGCCATTCCAGAAATCTCAGCACGAAAATCTGTCCAACTCTCTGCCCGTTTATTCATCACATCCCCAAACAAGATGCTTTTTAAACTATCATCCTCACCCTCTAACCCACAATCTGATGATTTCTTCACTTGAAGCCGTTCTATATCCGAACACAATTCTCTCAAAAGCTTTTGTGCACTCACAGATTTTCTTGCCAGTTTCTCAGGCCTCAACCATGGCTCAGGAAAAAACCCCATCGAAGCCAACTTTCCCACGAGGATCTCATTAACAGCGTCGAATATGAGCTTCCGGTGAAACTTTTCCTTGTCATTCTTCATAAGAACAACATTTTCAATGTTAGATTCTTCTTTTTGTCTAGTGCTTGCTTTGGTTTGTTCCAAAACCAAGAATAACTCGGGGTTGATTGGGTGGCCAGATGGGTGGAGCTGAAAGGTTGTCGTGCTTGAGTTGAGGTCCCGGAGGAGGAGACCTGAAGCTAACAATATCTCAGATATGTATCTGTGGTCAGGGTTTGTGTTCTCACAGAGAGATGCAATGTAATCCGTGTGGGTTTCATCATGGCTTGAGTTCAGTAGTCTAAGCTTCTGCACCAAGTGCTCAATGTTCTCTAATTTCTTGCGATTAATCTCTGACTTAAGGCCAGAAGCCATGCTGTTAGATGTGAGATTATCTGCTGAGTCAAGTTGTACTCTATTGGAATTGTCATTAGAATTCGTAGTTCCATCATCTGTTAATTGAATAGTCAAGTCATATATGGAAAATGAAAAAAGTACACAAAATTAATGACAAGTTAAACCCTAATTGCTTTTCCAGCAACGCTTCAAACCTCCATTACCCAAAGGTAACCATACTACTAATAGAAGATATCTAACCTAGTTGAGTTACATAAGGCTTTTTTCTAGGTTATGTGATATGAGAACAGCATGCTTGGAGTTGACTAGTAGGTGGGCTAAAGCATGATGGAGGTGATAATTGATAATCCTCCGACTTAGGGTTCTACACTTTTACTGCATCACATAATCATCCTTCAACATATCTCACTACAAGGCTACTACTCGTATTCATATATAGTCAATTATGAGCTTGTTTGCAAGTGTAACAAAAATAAAAAAAGATATTCAAATTACAATAGACATGGTTTGATTTTTCCTACGAGGCAAACTTTATGGGACAAAGTCTAGATCTAGGATTTGGGGTGGGATTTGTGGAGGGAAAAGGACAGGGAAATGTGATAAAAATCTAGCTTCTATTTCATTCATTTTTCCCATCCTTTTTTTTTTCTCTCTGTGTGCAAATCCCTCTTCAAATCCTTGATCCAAACACAACCTTAAGTAATTTGGCGAAGTTTGCTTCTCTCTACAAAATTACAGAAAAACACACAAGATTTGTTCACATCCTTACCCAGACTAAAGTGATAGAGCTTCAGTTCCTTTGATCATGTCAAGTTTATATAATAATAGTCACTATATCCTGGCATATTTAAATTAACTTGTGCAGTAAACCAATTTTTGAAAATAAATAAATACAATCTATCAGAAGTTCAAATCTTGTATAGAGCCACGTATCAGGAATTCAATTATAACTGCTCAAGTTTTTCTGCCATATCAAACCAGATAGTCTCAGTAAAACAAAGCACTACCTTTGAGGACATCTGGCATCTGTTTCACAGGAGACACAGCATCATCCCTATACATTGTGTCATCAAGAACGGAGACCGGACTAGGATGCTCAGGGGCAACTGACCCAAATTCCAGCAACACTCCATCTTCATTCAACCTTGCAGCTAATTTCTGAAATAAAATCAGTTAAAACGGGTCACTCAATTATTCAGAATAGCAATGAATAAATAATATCAAAATCACCTACCTTTCGCACTATGCTAGAAACTGAGTACTTAGCAGCCTTCATGGATGGACTCTGGCTGCCATTGGTCTCAGCACAGCGTTCCAAACCGGTGACTTCTGTGTCTATCCCTGAGTCCGAGACAATGTTTCCATTTGATCGCATAGAAATATCGTCTTCCCGGTAACCCGAATTCCTTGTTTCGCTGCTCATCTCACTGGATTGGTCGTCGATTTGCTGCAAGTTTGCAGATTTTGGTCTACGTTTCCCACCTGGGGAACTTGACTCTGGCTGTTGCTTGTTGGGTTGCCTTCTTGACTTGCTGGAATCAGGAGGGGTGGGCGGGCGAGATCGCCTCTCCAACTCAAGCTTTTTCTGTTGCAATCTCGGGCTCACAGATCCTGAGCTCTTGACTGAGCTTATGTTGTTCTCTCTGGGCAACTGTTGAGACCGTGTTGAAGTTTGTGTGGATTTTACAGTTACGTTGCTGGCTTTCTTTTTATCTGTGGAACCAACTGCACTCTCTCTGAAGCTGGTTTTTGGAATCTGTTCTTCAGATGTTTGAAAGTTAACTGAACTTTTTCTGCTATCTGCACACGCACCGCTCCTGAGTTTAGGGAGACCTGATAAGCGATCCTTCGGAATTACTGAAGAAGCAGGAACACCAGAATTTTCAAAAAGTTTCGCCGGTTTCATGATCACAATTGGGGATTCAAACGTCCTCAAAGAATTGTCTCCCTTACTTGTGGATCTATTAACACGATCACTATGTGGCTTTTGCTGGTTTACCAATCTAGCACTCAGATGTGAACTTGTATGTCTTGGCTCATAGTCTTTTTGAGTCGCTAAATTAGAATATTGTTCTTCTCTTCTGGTCTCTAAGAACCCTTTTGCCTGCATTGCTTCCAATATCTGTTTAAGAGCTCTGAGATCCTTTCCCGATTGAGTGAATTCAAGGTCCTTCAACCTTTTCTCAATCTCGCTATAAACAGAAGGGAAGGAGTTAGTTGCCCTAGATGGACATTTTAGATGCCTCAGAGCTGGCTTCTGAGAACACCGGTTCCCATCTAGCTGCTTCCACGGTGCTGGTTCAATTGGAAATCTTGAACTTGAAATGGCTTTCATGACTGATTCAGTATTTTTCCAACGTGGCGAAGCTGGTTCCTTCCACGAGTTCCTTGAAGAATTCGATATTCGAATTGATCGGCATGGATCAATTGATTTTGATGACCTTGACCAGGGATCACAATCCTTAACTGGGAAAGTTTTGATCGACCCTATCTGACTGTCACTAGCCAAGGAATCATCCGGCAGTGTTTCCAAGCCCATCAGCTTTGCTACAACACTGGGAGGTCGTGTCTGATTCAAGTTTGATTTTGAATCAGAATTGAAACTCCGAATGGAACCATCTCTACTGTCCAGTGAAAGTCTTGGAAGCTCTTTAAGCTTCGGAGTCGATTTCAAGGTCTCCCAAGATTCAAAGGATAAACGGTTTAGTTCCCTCCCATCATAAGAAAACCGAGGAGCATCCTTCAGAACTGAAAACATAGACCCGTCTTTTGATTCACATGATGATCTTGAATGTTCTCCGGGTTCATTAAAATACCAAGGTGCTTCTCGGAGTTTCGCAAGAACTCTAAGAGACTCCCTGAGATTAGCAGGCAAATTTTGCTTCCCATTGATGCCCAAACTGGAAGATCCATCAACAGATTTGGAGAGCTGTGGAGGCCTTGGAGAATCTTTGTTTTTCACCGCATAATCTTCCGGTTCATCTTTGTTTGCAGTGTTAACTGATAGTCCCCAAGCTTCTCGGTACATGGAGTCCTTGACTACATCACGAAGATCAAGGGATTGACGCCCAAACTGTGGAGAGGCGCTTGATTGGCTCATTGTAGGGTCCCTTGATGGAGTTTGGGGAAAAATCATTCGATCAAAGGACAAGGGTTCTGGTTGAGCTGTTCTGTTACAGTCAAGAGAAGAGAAGGATGATGAACAAGAAGAAGATGAGAAGGAGGGCCGGGATGATTCCATGGAAACTCTTTGTTTCTCATTCACATTTTTTGTTGAATTCCGTTCCTGCAATTATAAGAGCTATACAATCAGATTCAAATAAACAATAGCAGAACCAAATTAAGGTTGGCAAAATCACACGGACAAATTCAGAGCTTAAAACAAACCCAAGGTCCGAAATACATGATTAGCATTTGGGAAGGGGCAGCCTCAGCCCAGAATAAAGCAATAATTCAAGATATGGTTTGAGTATTCGATAATAAAATTTGGGATATGGAAGCATTCTGGGCAAAACCAAGCATTTATTTCCATTTTATGATCATTTAGAAATCTTGTGGCTTTAACCAAAATATACACAAAATTCATAGTAGATTGGGAACTACTGTATACATGTTTACATATGCGTTATGTATATACATATATTTATATATTTCCGAAGTTTTTTTGAAAAAATGGCCTTGAGAGTTCTTACCTTTGCAGTTGGCCGATGGTATATGTTATTCAACTCTGTTTCAAAAGTGCCACTATTGTAGTGGGAACTACCTACAGAAGAGAAGAGAAATATTTGATGATGATATACATTCTACAGTATACGGAAAAGCCAACTCAAGAATATAACAAAAAAACTGCGGAAATAAGTAAAAACATGCAACTCTTATTATACTTTCGCATCAAAAGGGCTAAAGATATCACCAAGAATTAAGTTGAAAGTGCTTGGCCTCCAGAAATTACAGTCAAAACCTTTTTGAAAGATCAATTCAAGATTAGTCTCATACTCATAAGTTTAAGGCTTCTGATCCTTACTCTCCTTTTTCCATCAAATTTGAGTGAATTTGGTTAAAAGCAGAAAACACCAATCCTTATTCTCTTATTTTTTTCATCAAATTTTTTTGAAAAATTCCAAACTTGTCCTAAAAATCTGTTTTAACCATTTTTCATGGGAAAAAAAAAAATTCTCCAAACCCTTGCTCTTTTTTAAAATTCACCAAATTTGAGTAAAACTATGATGGTTGGAAATTTTGTGAAGGATATGGTTCATCCTGATTTGGTGAAAATTTTGCGTCTCCCTTGATTTGAAACAAGCTCGATGAAATGATTGTAGCTCACTTTTAGCACTTTATTAATCAAATTTGAATTTGATGAAAGAATTGGTGAAGGATTAGGGATTTTCAATACATATTGAAAATTTAAGCAATGAAATAAGGTAACACATCTTTAACCACACAATTTGAGTTCATCCACCACCAACCTTCAAAAATACAAGTAACAGTAAATCAAATTAAGCAATGCCCAATTAGAGGATTACCAGAAGGGAGCCTCTTAGGGCTGTGGCGGCTGATACGCCTACCGGTCAGGATTTGTTGACGATCGAAGATTTGGAAAATCCCGGTCATGCATCCAATTTGCTTTTGCAAATCTGGGTCGTCATCAGTCAATGAATGTAAAAGTTTTGCAGCCATTTTTTCCCTCCTCTCTTCAAATACACAATTGATACTATTCTTACTTCCTAGATCTCAATCATCCTTCCTCCAACCCATTGAACTTCAAACTTAATCCCCATAAAATGTGATTTAGGGTTCTTCAACAATTCCAAAACATGTTTTCCAATTCACACTCCATGAAGAAAATAGGATGATTGTTTGGTCAACCAATTGAGAATCTATGGTTTTGGAGGAGACCAAACAAACCTTATCTGTACCCAGATCTCAATCCGAAGGTTGGCAAGTCAGGAACCAAATCCTAGTTCTCTTCTTTCTTGTTTTCCCTCAAACTTTTTGCAAAAAAAAAAGCACAAACAAAGCCTTTTTTTTTTTTTTTTTTGCTCAACTCTAAATATTTACAACACATAATCACTACCCATGATCATGAAATTCCATTCAAAGCCTTCCCTAAAACCATAATTTAACAAATCAATTTATTTCATATTTCCCACAAACAACAATTCTCTTCCAAAACCCACAATTTCCCAGCTATTATAGATTATTTCTCAGGGTTTTCCCACAAACTTGCCTAAAAAAAAGCACTTCAACAATCAAAGCAAACAAGAATAGAAGAAACCCAGAAAACAAATCAACCTATATCAGTATTTGGAAGCAAATTTATTGGTTTTCACAGAAGAAACAAGACAATGCCTTTTCTGTAACAGCAAGAACCAAAAGAATTTTGGGGAGAGAACCCAATACCCATTTGCAATCTGCAACAAATGCCAACAGTTAATAAACAGCAGCAACAACCATACCTTCTCTGAATAACTGTAGGGTGTAGGGGAATCTCTGCAGATCCAAGAAGAGAATTTTTTTTATTTTTTATTTTTTTTGATGTTTTGTTCTTCAGAGAACAAAATAGAAAGAAAAGAAAGACAGCCCAGAAGAGAAGAGATTGTAATTGGATGGTGTGTTATACTGGCAAAAAAATATTGTCAGTTTTTTATCCTCAAGTGTAGAGAGAGAGAAAGGGAAGAGGAGAGAGAAACCGGTCGTGTCGTGGTGGTGGGTCAGATGTCCTGCAGGCCTCTTTTCTCACACTTCCATGTGGGTGGAGTATGAGTGTGGGTCTAGAGGTGTCTTTCATGGGAGGGCATGTGATTTGTCAGTTAATCCTTTAGAGAGAGAAATAAAAGAGTGAATTTATGAGTCCCATTTTTATGTCAGGACTTAATTACTTAAATTTTATTTTAAAATATTATTAAAAAATTCATTTCGAATTATTTTTTTAATCATTTCTCTTAACAAACTTTCTATACCTTCTTTATTTTATTAAAATAATATTTTTAATTATTTTTAAATTTAAATATTTTTTTAATAATAAAATAATAAAAATAAATGTAACAGCACAACAGTATAGAAGTAGCAAAAGAAAACAAAGGGATAGTCGACCGAACAACCGAACGATTGAATAGTCAAGCTAATTTTAAATATTTTTCTTCTATTCAATCTAATTTTAAATATTTTTCTTCTTTAGCTCCAGGACTCTTAGAAGATCTCCGAAGGGATGTCTGGGGAGACGTCCGAGAGGACATTTTTCATGTCTTTAATGAAATAAAATAAAAATTTATTAGATATGAAAGAGCTACAATGACTCCTTATTTGTAAGGAGTCACTCTAACAATACTTATATTTAGGGGTTGGATAGGAAAATTGCTGGGATGTGTTTTTGTTAGCACCATAAATGTACAATTTTTATTATTATTTATTATTTATATAATTGCAAGACATGTGGTATCCTCTTACTCATTTGGAGGTTATGAGAAGTTATGAAGGCATGGAGGGTTATGTGGCATTATAGGAATGAAGATGGAAGAGTGGGTAGTTTTAGGTGGTTATTGGGTAGTTATTACTGGAAGTTTTTTCCTACAAATATTTGTCTATAAATAGTCATTCATGACTACATTGTAAAGGATCCAGAATTCAAATCAAAGACAATTGATTTCAATATTTCTTGTCATTTTTCTTAACTTAGGAGCAGTTTAACATAGACTTATACTTCGAAGCATTTAGTTTCAGCACTTCCTTTTCGAAGCATTTTATGCACTTCCTTTTCGAAGCATAGGAGTAGAGGTAAGTAATTATTACTTTGATTGTTCACTCAATCATCTTTCTTCGTCCATCTTGCTTCTTTTACTTTTTCTTTTCTCTACACTTGACAATTTTGAAGTCCTCTTCGTTGAGGCAAAAGAACCGTCAACACAATCGCTTGATAATTGGCTTGAATTTAATCTGTAAGGATTTTTCAATCCTTGCTAGCACGCTCGAATTTATGATATTTTCCTTCGTAGGAAAAATAAGCCAACAATTTTTTGCACGCCCAATAGGACGTCAAGTGTAATAAATGAAAAATGAATTGGATTTATCCATTTCAAATAGCCTAGATGAAATTTATTGGCATAAACAAGAAATTTTGGATCTTCAAGAAGAGATCCATTTTCTCGATGAAAGAAATTTTCATCCCTTACAATATTATTTGGTGGAAGAAAAAAAATACCATTTAATTGGAGAAATTCATCAACTTGACATGGAAATTCGCCAATGGAATGATGAGTTATCAACTCTCACTACCAAGTCTTTAACTGAGGCCTTAATGGCCGGAATTGGTGAATTTTTTCAAAATTTTTCCATGGTTAAAAATAGCAAAAGCAAATAGTTGATTTCATTAATGGCTCGAGGGGTTCAAGAGTCCGTTTTTAAAGAGTCAAATTATGAAATTAACATAACGAAAGAGCATATTCTTGAGCCAAATTTGACTAAGAATGATGTTCCATGCATGGCTCGGGGGGGTCTCAAAACCAATTTTTTGAAAGTCAAGTCATGAAAATAACATATCTATGGGTGATTTTCATAAGCCATTAATGGCTAACATGAAAAAACAACCCACTTTGCCAAATAATTATAAAAATTTATTCGGCAAAAGTCATGTTTTTAAAACAAACATGGTCAAAAATAATGAACAAGCCACTGTTCATGAATTCAAATTTTTTGACATTTTTCAAAATGTTAAAAAGTATGAATTTTCATGATCACACTATACCATGACTTTTGTTGTTCGAAATCCATTTTGGATTTGTGGATCATATCAAACGTTGACTTTGATGGAATGGCTAACAAATAATATTTCGTTATTGCAATATATTGAGCCAAAAATGTTGTTATTAGTTGATCCATAAAACCATCACCATTTGATTTTGTGGTTACCTTCAAAGCATGTCTCAAGACACTTCGAAGTAGATTATTCATTGAAATATCATTTTATAACCATTAATGGCTAGTTAAAATGCCAAACTAATTTCATAATAATCCAACTCTTTGGATTTAGTTCGAAGAGATGCTGTGAACACTTTCGAATGACGACTTTAATCCTTTAGTAACATATGTGACTTTCGAATGGTGGTTTTGTCATCAATAAACACCTTCGAAATGTAACATGGGACAAGAAAGCTTTCGAAATGCGTACCTCCCTTCAAATATATGTAAAATGACAATTAATTAATTATCGAATAATGCCTATTTTTGGCATAATAATTAGTGGCTTTACTGATAACCATTTTTATAGCCATTTGTTACATGAAAATATAACTAGTATTTTATAAAAGTTGGTTCGAAGAACAACGATTTTGGTATCTTCGGAGAATTAATAATTGGTTTAAAGCATAAAATTAATATTTTCATTAATTATGTGTGAACCAAAACATACAAAATTTGAATAATCACAATGTTGATCAAAAGTTGCTTCGAAAGCCCTTTTGCCATAATTTGGTAAGCTTCGAAGTACTCCATCTTACATCAACAACAGCTTCGAAGAAAAAATAATGATAGTTGTGAACCTTCGAAGCTTTGCCGAGTATTTTCAAGGATGTAATTCGTCCTTTGTTGGCATTTTCGACCTTCGAATGATAATTTTAGTCCTCTATACCACCTCGAAGCTGGTTATTTAGCATGTGTAACAGTTTGCTAATGTGAATCATTGGCTTTGTCTTGAAAATATGTGGTTATCCTTCGAAACTTTTCTGCAATAATATCCCTTCAATGCGTATATATATAATTCGCAACATTTAGTCATAATTTCATGCTCATTCGAAGCAGTTTATTGGTGCTATTATATCATTCGAAGCACTCTGTTGATATTATTCGAAGCACTTTATTACTTAGATTAGTCATGTGCTTGGTTCGACCTTTCAAAAATTCAAATAAATATCATTTTTAAGGGTCGCGGGGGGTAATGTTAGCACCATAAATCTGTAATTTTTATTGTTATTTATTATTTATATAATTGCAGGACATGTGGCATCCTCCTACTCATTTGGAGGTTATGAGAAGTTATGAAGGCATGGAGGGTTATGTGACATTATGGGAATGAAGATGGAAAAGTGAATAGTTTTAGGTGGTTATTGGGTAGTTATTATTGGAAGTTTTTTCCTACAAATATTTGTCTATAAATAACCATTCATGGTTACATTGTAAAGGATCCAGGATTCAAATCAGAGTCAATTGATTTCAATATTTCTTGTCATTTTCCTTATCTTAGGAGTAGTTTAACATAGACTTATACTTCGAAGCATTTAGTTTCAGCACTTTCTTTTCGAAGTATAGGAGTAAAGGTAAGTAATTATTACTTTAATTGTTCACTCAATCATCTTTTTCCGTCCCTCTTTCTTCTTTTACTTTTTCTTTTCTCTACACTTGACAATTTTGAAGTCCTCTTATGTGCTTGGTTCGGCCCTTCAAAAATTCAAGTAAACATCATTTTTAAGGGCCGCGAGGGGTAATGTTAGCACCATAAATCTGTAATTTTTATTGTTATTTATTATTTATATAATTGCAGGACATGTGGCATCCTCCTACTCATTTGGAGGTTATGAGAAGTTATGAAGGCATGGAGGGTTATGTGGCATTATGGGAATGAAGATGGAAAAGTGAATAGTTTTAGGTGGTTATTGGGTAGTTATTACTGGAAGTTTTTTCCTACAAATATTTGTCTATAAATAACCATTCACGGTTACATTGTAAAGGATCCAGGATTCAAATCAAAGACAATTGATTTCAATATTTCTTGTCATTTTCCTTATCTTAGGAGTAGTTTAACATAGACTTATACTTCGAAGCATTTAGTTTCAACACTTTCTTTTCGAAGCATAGGAGTAAAGGTAAGTAATTATTACTTTGATTGTTCACTCAATCATCTTTTTCCGTCCCTCTTTCTTCTTTTACTTTTTCTTTTCTCTACACTTGACAATTTTGAAGTCCTCTTCGTTAAGGCAAAAGAACCGTCAACACAATCGCTTGATAATTGGCTTGAATTTAATCTGTAAGGATTTTTCAATCCTTGCTGGTACGCTTGCATTTATGATATTTTCCTTCGTAAGAAAAATAAGCCAATAGTTTTGACAAAAAAAACTTCTTATTTTGAGTAAAGAGGTAGTATAAGGGAAGAGATGAGGATGCTCTAAGTGTGGTTTAGAATATTATAAATAAGTGTATTTTTTAATTTTTTATAAAAAAAACATAGAAAAATAGAGAAAGTTGGTAGAAAAGTAGAGAAAAAATGTTGATAAATATTGATTGATGTAATCTAAATAAGTGTATGTATGCAAAAAAAAGTACACTTTTTTAATACAGATCAAACACCTACTTAGGTCAGTCAAATATGGGACAAATTCTCTCTAATCCATTCAGCAAACTAAATTATTTTGAGAATTAAGTTAAAAGTTTGTTTTTTAATTTTTTTTAAAAATATGTAAAAAAAATAGAAAAATAATGTGATCTAAAAAAATTAAAAAGTCTAAAAATTAACTTTTAGTCAGGTTATTGAACTTGTGAGATTTACTACAGATTCTATTTTGATAATTTGAATCGTTTAATATATAAATGTCGTCAAATATATCATTTCTAAAAAAAAATTATATTAATCGGATATCGATAACTAATTAATCAGAATATATTTTTATCAACAATTTATTTTAAAAATCATATTTACCATTGATAAAAACATGATCTAATTAAGAAATATCGTTATCT